TATTTAAAATAATAATAATAATAATAATAATAGTAATTTCACATACGCACATATATATATATATATTTATATATAGACTACGACTAATTTTAAATAGTTTTTATAATTATTTTTTATTAATTTTAATTAATTAATAATAATATTATTATTAAATTTTTAAAAAAATTATTATTATTATTATTAATATTATTAAAATTATTAAAAATTGTGGCGAGGTTTTCATTTCATTTGTACGTCATTATTAGAATCTAATAATAACATTTTTTATTTATTTATTTATTTATTTATTTATTTATTGTTATTGTTATTAATTGAAAATCGAATTGAATTTATTTATTTATTTATTAAATTCTTTTTTCGGTTAATAATAATAATAATAATAGGAAATGATTCGTTTCGTTTTTTTTTATGTATTACGTATTTAAACGTTTTTTTTTAATGAAAATTTAAAAAAAAAAGGAAAAATCAATAAGTTTGTTGAATGATGATAATAATAATAATAATAATAATTATAGCGCTATATAGTATTGAAATAATGTTTAACCAATGGAATTTTTTTTGTTAAAAATTTTTTTATAGAGCACGGAAATTTTTGGTCGATGAAAGTTTTTTTTTTTTACTTTTTTTTTTTTTGTAAAAATAATATTCGCGTTAGATAAAAAATATAGTCTATAGAAATATATTATATAGTCTATAAATTTTCGGTTTATAGAGCAAATAGAGAAAAAAAATTATAGCGACGCCAATAAAAAAAATTAATTAGGAAAAATCAAATCATTATCGTTTTAACTTATTTAAATTTTTATATAGCGCTATAAAAATTTTTAAAAATATTTTTAGACTTTATAGCGCGTTTATTATTATTATTATTGCGATAAAAAAATAAGAAAAAAAAAATTAATTATGCGGTTGTGACCAAAAACAAAAAATTACGTAATAATAATAATAATAATGAATCGAACTTAAAATATCAAAAAAAAAAAAAAAATTATCATTATTATTGTTATTATTATTATTAAAATTATTATTATTGTTATTATCGTTATTAAAAAAAAAGATGATTAATCTTAAAATTAATTAATTTTTATTTTATTTTATTATTCCTTAACTACTAAATATTAATAATAATAATAATAATTAATTAATAATTAATAATAATAAAAAAAGCTTTAATAAGTAACAGGAACCTTTTTGTAGTTTTTTTTTTTTTTTAAATTTTTTTTTTTTTGTTTCTTTATCAAAGAAATAGGAACCTTAGGATCTGGAGATTTTTTTTTTCTTTTTTTCATTTTTTTTTTTTTTTTTTGTGAAATCCGTTGAACCGGAAATTGTTTGTTTGTTTGTTTTAATCTTTCTTCATTTATTTAGGCACCGTTTGTTGTTGTTGTTGTAAGGGTTTTTTTTAGGCGCGACAAATATATTAACCTTTTTTTGGTCGTTAACGAAGTGAGTAGTTGTTTGTGTTTGTCTCAAATTTTTTTTTTCGGATTGTTTGTTTGTTTGTTCTGTGTTCAGGTACGATATTATCATTATTATTATTATCGTTTTGTTTTTTAATCAGTGCCTTTTTAGTTTTTAATATTCGTCGCGAGAAATATTTAAATGAAGAAGTAGAAGAAGAACAAAAAAACGTTTCCGGTTCGCAATTTTTTTTTTGCTTTTGTTTTGTTTGTTTGTTTGTTTGTTTGTCTGTTTTTTTTTTTTTGGAGTTCTAGTTTGTCTCCAGTTCAAACGTCGAACTTCCAAAAAAAAATTTATAAAAAAAATAAAAAAAAAAGTTTATCGAAATTTAATCATTAAAAAATTTTAACGTCGTGCGAGAAAAAACAAAAATGTTCTTCATTAGTTTTTAAACATTTGTTCGTGGAAGTAGAAAAATAAAATTTATTATTATTATTATTATTATTATTAATTATTAAAGTCAACGTTTTTGAAATTATTAATAAAAAAAATTTAATTAATAAAATAATTCGTCGACTACTTAAAAAAATTAAAAAAAAAAAAAAACCTATAAATAATAATTAATTCCACGACGTTTTTTTTCCTTTTTTTCTTTTTAAAACACGAGACGTGTAATTAATAATATATAAAAAATACAGTTAAAGTCACGACGCGAAATAAAATTATGTAAAAAAGAAAAAAAAAATTATCGAATTTGTCGCAAAAATTATTTTTTAATAATATAATAATAATAATAATAATAAAAGAACAAATAAAAACAATATAAAAGAAAATTAACGTAGAAATAATTAAATTTTAAAATTCGCGCGACGCTAATACCCCAAAAACCCCCTCCTCCCCCTCCCGAAAAAAAAAATAAAATAAAAATTATCGTTATCGCTATCATTTTTTTTTTTTTTAAATTTATTTTAATAATACGTTTGTTTGTTTGTTTGTTTGTTTTGTTTTGTTAATTTAAATTAGCAACATATACACACAACAAAGCCAAATAAATTTCACATTAATTAATTAATTAATTAATTTTTTTTTAATTATTATTATTATTAAGTTTTTTTTTTATTTTGTTTCTCTCTCTTAACTTATCTATAATTAAAAATTATTTTCTTTCATTGTCATCATATTGTTAATATCAATTTTTTTTTTTTTCAAATTATTATTATTACACTCTTTCGATTTATTTATTTATATATATATATATATATATTTATATATTCACGTATATATATACGTCATAATATAGTTAATAATAATAATAATAATAATAGTAATAATATTAATAATATTAAATATATAACGCCAAAGTATACAGCTAGAATAGCGAGGTTGTGTAGTTTCAATTTTTTTTTTAAATTTTTTTTTTATTAATTTTTATTTATTTATTAATTAATAATTTTATTTAATTACGTTACGTTATGTATTTATTAATTATATATTCACTTACATATATATCCACGAAAACAAATAATAATAATAAAGAAAAAATTAATAAATAAATAAATCCTTTAAATGAATTAAAAAAACTTTTTTTTTTTATTTTTTTTTAAATAATTTTTTATGATTTTTTTTTTTGGTTTTATTTTTACTTTTCCCCGTGTTTATTATTATTATCATTATCATTATTATTATTCTCTTTAAAAAATAATTATTCATTTCTTGTCGTAATTTATTAATTTTAATTTTTTTTTTTTTTTTGGATTTTTAAAAAGAATAATTTTTTTTTTAGAAAAATAAAAAGAATAGAAAATTAATTTTTATTAGTAAAGTTAAAACAAACAAAACCGAAAGAGAGAGAGAGAAAGAGATACGGGGAAAGAAGAAAGAAAGAAAGAGAGAGAGAGAAAGAAAAAACACACGACGATTTTAAATTGCGAAAGAATATGAATTAATAAAAATATTTCATTTTTTTTCCTTTTTTTTAATCCCTTCTTATTAATTATTATTAATATTATCATCACCATTAATAATAATAATAATAAAAGTGAATGTTAATAATAATAGTATCATTATTATTATTATTATTTTTTTATGTACATGAAACTCATGTTAAACAATCGATAAAAAATTTTTTTTTTTTTAATTAAGTGTATATATATATATGTAAAACGCGCGTTTATGCGTACGCGCGTGCGTGCGTATGTACGCACACGTGCGTATATATATATACGTAATATAAAGGAACTTTTAACGCGTCATAATATTCGTTATTATCGAACGATCGATCGATCGATCGATTGTCAATCATAGTTTAAAAAAAATCAATTTTTTAATTTTTTTTTTTTTCTTTTTTCGTCCACATAACGTTTCGAACGTTGACTCATCGTTTATTAATAATAATAATTGATAATTTTTTTTTTTAATTAAATTACATTGATATAAACGAAGAGTAATAATTTTTTTTTTATTACCTTTATATCATGGGTAATAAATAACGAGAAAAAAAAAATAAAGAGAAACGAAAAATTTAATAATAATAAATAAAGTAATAATAATATTTAAAACGAGTGCGAATAAAAACCTCTGTAAGTTTTTTTTTTCCTTTCGTTATTATTATTATTAACGAAAGGGAAGAATTAGGGGAGGAAGAGGGGAAACGGAAACTGTCGGATGAAAACGGTTAAAAATTATTAAAATTTAATTTGCAATAAATTATTAATTAATAAATAATCAACAACGATACATACACAAACACACGTGGACAAGACAACACAACTAATAGGAATGTTTTATTATTATTATTAATATTTTTTTTTTATTTAATAGGAACTAAATTTTAACATTCGCGGAACTGATAAACAGGAACTTATGTATATTTTTATTTAATGTTGTAAGGAACTGTTTCCGGTTAGTTAGTTTAATTATCTTTTTTTTAATTAAAAAAAATCTCGCGTTATTTATTTATTTATATTTTTTCTTTTAAAAAATTCAATTAAGAAACAAAAAAAAATCGTAATAATAATAATAATAAACAACCGTTAACTGCAATTTGTTTTTGTTTTTTTTTTTAACGTGTAATTAGATAAAATTAAATAATAAAAGAAAAAAATGGCGGAAAATTATCAAGTGGGTGGTCGTAGTAGTATTACGTAGAATTACATTAACGTTAATTTTTCGTTATTTTTTTTTTATTTACATAACATTATTATTATTATTATTATCGTCGCGTTATTTAAACAAATTATTATTAATAAATAATATTTTTCGGGTAAATAAATAAAAACTTACAGAGGTTGTTAATAAAGAGGAACAACGAACGTAAAGTTAGATAAAGTAAAAGGAACAAATAGGAAAGAAATTTTTTTTTTATGAGTAACTAAAGTTAAAAAAGCACCAAAAGAGGGGGAGGGGGGGGATAAAATTTTTGTTTGTTTTTGCTGTCGTTCATAGGTTTTTTTGTTTCCAATATGGCCGATTTTATTTTTTTAAATTAGGAACTTTTTAAACGCTAATTAATAATAGCAAACAAAAAAAAATAACAAATCGGCCATAACAAATATAAAAGTCGCAAATCGGTAAAATATAATTTAACGTGATTTAAGAATCTAATGACCCGACGAATGTATGGGTACGTGTGTGTTAATTAAATTAATTTTATTCGTTTTAGGTTGGCAAAATTCTTTAGAATTTTTCATCGTAAAATTAGCATTTGAATCTTGTCCGGATTGTGTGGGGGGCGAACTTTCTTGCGCTGCTTGAGCTGCTAACGCGGTTATTTGATTGACGACATTTTCCATTTCGTGTGTCAAACCCGATGATGGTGAGGAGGGAGGGATTTGATTGGGAAAACCCGGTTTTAATAATCTTTGCTGCTGTTGTTGTTGTTGTTGATTAACTTTGCACACGTGTACTTCCGTTTCGCAGTGTCGTTTAAAATCATTCGCGGTAGGACAAACAAAAGATGGAGAACATAATTTACATTCGTAGAGGATCGTTACCAAACGTACAGATCCTCTAGATTCAGAAAGCTTACCGGGATAGCATATGTTCCTCTGATGAGTGAGCAAACCTATTTCCGTTTGATAAGCCATCCTGCATTTTTTACAAACGAATCCAGCTTCCGTTTCAATTTCACGATATAAATTTATTATTTGTTGATCTTTCGAATCGGGATCGATTATTCTCGTGGTCGTGACTCCTGGTGTACCCGCTTGTGCTATTTTTTGTACTTCTTGAAATATTTCTTGTGGTAAATTCAATAGTAAAAGCGGAGTGCCACCTTCTTGCGTTGCCATTTTTTGCTGCTGATGACTCATAGTGTCGTTGTTTGACGTCATCGTCGATGGCAACGTTGTCATTTTGTAATCTTTTTGAATCATATTCGGGCTGTTTTCATGTACGTTTTGTCCTCCTCCACCTGAAATCAACAATAACAAACAAAAAATTGTTTTCTTTCTTTCTTTTATACAAAAAATCTTTTTTTGTTCTTTTTTGCCTTTTTTTTTGTCCAGGTGAAGCCCACCTGTTATTACAACTAGTAATAAAATGTCGCTTCCCTTTTTTAAAATCACTCATTTCAAGTGTTTTTAATGTTTTTTTTTTTTTTTTGTCTCCCTACATAAAGAAATTCTTTTTTACTTTCCCACACCCGCCACCACCACCCCACACTCTACTCCACTCCCCGGAAAGCCTTTTAAATTAACAAAAACTTTTATTATTATTACTATTATTATTATTATACGATTCTCTCGCATGCATATATGCATAAATAAAATTTTTACTTTAAAAAAAAAAATTATTTTAAATTCTCCTTAGAAAAAGAATAATAATAATAATAATAAATGGAACCTAAATAAATAAATAAATTAAAATAACAATAATAATAATAATAATAACAATAATAAATAACAAAAACACGGTTCATACTAAAGCGTACATTTTTTATTTATTTATTTTAAGTGAGTAATTAGTCATTGGGTGTTCTTAAATAAATAAATAAATTTACATAAATAAATAAATAAAATTAATAATTAAAATAGAAATATTAATAAATTATTTCACGGTGTTATTATTATTATTTAATCATGTGATACGTTTTCCCTTTTTACTAATACGTAAATACCTGAATTTTACTTTTTTTTAACGCCCACGTTTTCGTTTGTAATTCGTCAATTTATTTTTTTTTATTAATTGTTCCCTTAGCAACAACAAACACGACGACGACAACAACAACAACAACCGCGATAATAAAAACGAATATAACGAGATTTTTAACACATAAAAATTTAAATTTAAAAATTTCATTCAACTTATTACGTCGGAAATTTTTTTTTTATCGATTTTATTGATTTTTATTGAAAAAAATTTTTTTTCTCTCTCTTTCTCTCTCTTTTTTATATTTTTTTTAAATAAGAAAGAAAATCATCATCGATCGTCGGAGATATAGAAAAACGAACGAACAAACAACAACAAACACGTATGAAAAATTTTATAAACGTTACGTAACTAGAGAAAAAATTTTTAAACGAACGAAATTCCAGAAAATTATTTGTAAAAATAAAAGAAATTTTATTTTTTTTTTTTTTCACCGGTAGGGCCTGTGTGCGTGTGCGTGTGTGTGTTTGTAGTTACAATTAAAGTCAGTAATCATGACCGGTCTAAAATTTCCATAACAATATATCATGGAGACTAACAAGGGTGCTCTAACACCTCAAACCTTGTTTACTCTGACTTCCACTAATAAGCTTTACTCGAACAATTTATGTTTGCCGGGAGGCAAACAAAACGAATGCTATAAAAAAAAAATAGATATAGTCGCGCACAAAATAATAATAATAATGATAATGATGATGATGATGATGAGGATGAGAAAATATTCTCGGAGGTCACAACCAAACAAATTTTTTTTTTTTTTTTTAAATTTAATTGTTTGAATGATTTTGCCTCGTGGCGACCGTCGCCATATTTACGATATTTATTGTCCAGCAAAAAAAAAATACGATTGATGGATAAATATTGTTAATTTATCCAACAACCAAACAAACATAAACGTACGTGTCGAATTAAAAAAAAAAAAAAAACCGACGTTCCAGACGTAGGAAGAAAGAAAGAAAAAACTGGAAGAAAAAAAGGGGGGAAAGAGAGAAAGAAAAAAAAATTTTATATAAAAGTTTTGCGAATATTGGCATAAAAGTTATGAAAATGCATTCGGTTAATAACAAACAGGGAGGGGGCGTTGTGGTTTTGTCGTGGCAGTAGTCGTCGGTTTTAGTCGGATAAGTAAAAAATTACGTAATAAAAGTAGATTTGAAAAAAAATTCGAAAGAAATGAAAACAAAAACAAACATCGAAAGACATCGACCGTCGTTTTTATTTTTTTCTATCAAATTTCCATCAGTGAAAGTTTATAAAAAATATGAAAAAAAGGGGGTGGAAGAGCGGTAATATAAAATTGGGGGAAGTGGTAATAAAAAAAAAATGGAGGAAGGTCATGAAAAACAAAACAAAAAATAATAATAAGAACTTTTGGTTTTAAATTAATCAAAAAAAAAAAAAAAATTATTGAGAACGGATAAGTCGATTTATTACGTATATAAACGATTTCATTTTTAAAAAAATATTATAAAACAAACAGAAAACAAACACAAATCCGCGTCAAGAATATGGACAGAGAAAAAAAAAAAAAATTGATTTAATCAAAATGGCGACGATGATGTACGGCGGTATGTTCTCACGAAAACCTCTCATCACAATATTATAACGTTCCTTTAAGCATTTATAGTCTATATTATAGTAGTACAGTCTATAATATAGTAAAATATTTAATAGAACGAATAAAACTATAATAATTAATAAGTAAAACAAATTTCAAATAATTTTTGTTGTCGTTGATGATATGATGTGGGAGCAATAGTATTTATTTTCAGCATTAATGCGATTAAGTCAATTCTCCATAAAAAAACTGGACAATAATTTTTATTGAAGAATACCTCCGGGAGGGAGGGGAGGTAAGGTGGGGGGTGTTGTGGTGGTAAAAAAAAGTTTTTAAAGTTTTGATCCAGAGTTTTATTGACACATATATTATATCAATACATTCTTAACGCACACACATATATATTTTTAATTAAACTTACGCGTTTGTGCGTGCGTGCGCGTGCACGCAAGTATTATCCTAATGAGATGTGTGTGTGTGTTAGATAAAGATAAAAAATTTTTTTATTTAGGTTTCTTAATTACTTTTTTTTTAAAGTTCTAATTTTAGAGTTAATAAAAACGAGTTTTCATTTTACCCTGCATACTCGGAGATTTATTAGTTTTTGATATCTTGTTTTCCAGTTTTTTCGACTCACTCACTCACTCACCCACACACTCTCCCCTGTAGGTATTTTTCACTTGGGTGGGTTATTCGTCCTTTTGCCCTTTTTATTATTATTATTATTATTATCGGTCAAACACGATTTTTTTTTTTGTTAAAAGTTTGCGTATAAAAAATTCTTAACGAATATATATATGTATTTTTTTTATTGGAAAATCCCCAAATTTATTTTAAAAAAAAGAACAAAACCTGGGTGCGGTACTGATTGATCCTTAATTAATTTTTTTTACTTTTAATTGAACAACAAAAAAATTGGAGGGAAAATTTTTTTGTTTAAATTGTGTTTTACTCGGACGTTTTTGTTTTTATATTATTTGACCATATAAAATTATAGAAGTTAACGACTTTTTTTTTTTTACATTTAGTTATTATTATTTTAGATAATGATGATGATGATGATGATGATGATGATGATAATAATAGTATAAACTTTTTATACTTCGTTCTTTTATTATTATTATTATTATTACCGTACACGTGTTAAAAAAACGAGCAATCGAGGTATAAATTTTTATAGTCGATGCATAAGAGCTATAAATTAAAAAAGTTAAGTCATACATTTCGTGCAAATATTTATCAATTAATAATAATAAAAAAAAAAAATTGTTTGTTGTTGTTGTTGTTTTGTTTTTCCAGTTTTTCAATATTAACCTTAAGGTCTGTTAAATTGTTTTTTTTTTTTCAAATAATTATTAGTTACAAGTTATTAATTTACTCAACGGTAAAAAAAATTAATGACGATAATTATGCGTAAAAGAATTTTCTTATATTTTTTTTTCTTCGTGCCACTATCGAACAAACAACCAAACAACCCGTGGATATTAAAACAAACGAAAAAACAACCAAAAAATTTTTTAAAAATTAAAATTTAATTATTATTTAACGAAATTTAAAAAAAAAAAAAATTTCTGATTTCATTTTGTGGTAGTATATTAGTACGAGAGAGAGAGAGACAAACAAACGATATAAAAACAAACAAACGACAACCACATACGCACACACGATATATTTGTTTGGTTTTTAAAAAATTTTCAAACGGGGTGAAGGGTGAGTTCCGTATTAAAAAAAAAAAAAAATATTACGCTCTAAATAACGACGTTTATTTAAACGTGGAAGAAGAAAAAAAGAATCCCAGAGAGAGAGAGAGAGAGATAAACTATTGAGAGATGATGATGCGATGAAATTAATCAATAAATTAATAAATGTTTTTAATAATGTGAGAAAGAATTTAAACACAATGACGATGATATACAACAACAACAACAACCATAACAAAAACCACAGTAATAATAATTACTATCATCATCATCATCATCATTATTATTTTAAAAGAGAAAGAATGCACATAAAAAATAGAGAGAGAGAGAGA